AAAAAAAAAGAAATTTTAAACAAAAAATTCAATACAAAAACTTGTATTGTTTTAACCATAACCGAAAATTTGTTTGTGTATATATTTATTTGTAGGTGCTGTCAATTAATTAGGAAATAAAACAAACAGAGTTGATCACAAATTCATCCAGATTTCTATCACCATCACATCGATGTTGAATTTGCGTAACTTTTCTTTATCCAAATCTCGATCGGCGATCACTGAAACGCAGCTAGCACCTGTATACGCAAAAAGGCAATGTTGCCACTTTTTGTCATTAAATCATGTTCGAATCGTGGAAATCTTTGAAGATCATAGGGTTGCTTTAAGCAATTAGATTCTAAATGCAGAAATTGATTTGCATTTAGGTGACTAATTTTAGTTGTGTTCGATAACAAAATTATGGGTCGATTACGGATAGCAACGCAACCACGGCTCGGATGCCAGCTGCCAACGCAACTGCAAAGAAAATTTGTATTACGAATGGCAACTGTATAAGACATCATGTCCCATCACTGATTTAATTACATGTATATATTTTTCGTATTCAGTGGCATCACTTGCTTCTTTAGTTTTTTGTGATTCTGTCGTTTCCCTTTTTCGTAGCGCTGCACATTGGCAGGCATAACATTAAAATTGTAATTTGCTTATTATTATTATACAAATAAAGCTCGACTCGGACAGACGAGTCCTCTGTGCAATAAATTATCATTATTGATTCGATAGCGGTTGGATTTTTGGAGCGGCCAACGAGTGGCCGTCTGAATGTATCAAGGAGTTTCTGATACATTTTTGGTGCCTCCTGTGAGGATTGATTTTGAGGTTCATTCGCGAACAAGCGGTCGAGGAAGTCTCGCTTGGATTGGCAGTGCATCAGCCAGCTGGAGTTACCGACAAAGGCTCCACAGATTTAGTTCGTATAACGGAGTACTGAGACTTTGCCAGAAGTGCGGCAATAGCGGTGGTTTGTAGTCGCTTCGAGGTGACACAACAACAACTCGTGAGCCGTTTAGAATTAACTGTTCAATAAGCCGCTAATCAACGTTTGCTTTGTGGCGTGATTAGGCAGATATCATTTTTTTGGAAAAAAACTGTACAACATATATGGCGGTATGACGTCTTTGAATTTACGTACTTCCGCGAAGTCATCGATTACGCGGATTTTTAATACGGTTCATACCGAGGGCTATAGTCCATACCAGGTCGAAATGGAGCACATTCTTGGAATGGTGCAGCAGTACTGGGATCGTTTCGTTAAACATCATTTGGATTTAGTCGCTGGGGCACAGTCGTCAGATATTCCTACTCACGATACACTGTACGCTAGCACGGAAGAGCAATTCAACAAGGTTTGCATTAAATTACGTCGCTTGCTATTGCAATGCACTCCTGTTGAGCATGACTTCGTGCGGACCCAAGCAGCGGATTTGCGGCTAGATCCTGTTTCCATACCACCCTTCGATGGTCAGGTGGAGAACTGGCTTGTGTTTAAAGACATGTTCGAGACAATGGTCCACCAACGGACAGATCTCGATCCAACATACAAGCTTAGTAAATTGCGGCAGTACGTCAAGCCTGAAAGTGTCCCAATGGTCACTGGGTTGTATACTGGAGGTTATGAAGAGGTTTGGGCGGAACTGAAGCGTCGCTATGACAACTCCTATCTGCTGTCACAAACCCACGTGCAACGTATACTAGCTTTGCCAACTGATCCACGGGACACACAGAAGGTGCTCCGTGATATCATCGACTGTGTACGTAACAGCTTTCGTGCATTATCTGTCATGGGGTTGCCGGTAACACAATGGGATGTACTTGCGATTCCAATATTGCTGCCAAAGCTGCCGGTAGCAGCAAGAAATGATTGGGGCATGAGCCTCAAAGACAACGATATTCCCCGATTGGAAGATTTATTGAGCTTCATCGAGCGTCGCGCGATGAATATGCCGGCTGCATCGTCTGTGTCGCATGGTGTGATCACCTCTTCACGGCATACGGCACAACGTGGGGCTAGAGCACACCTAGCGTCTGCACAAGCGAATGGTGCGAATACCTCAAGTTGTCCACATTGTTCGGAGAACCATCGTCTTGCCAAATGTCATCGCTGGCGGAATCTTGCAGTAACGGCTCGTTGGGAGACCGTTAGACGTTTGCGCCTTTGCTTCAACTGTCTACGTGACGGCCATGTTACGCGTGATTGTTCAGCGGGAGTTTGTACGGTTTGCCGCCAAAAACATCATACACTTCTTTGTCGCAGTCCGACTGTTGGTTCGGGTACTAGCATGGTTCCCACCAAATGGATTCAACGAATTCAAAGCCAGAACCTACAGTATCGCAGCCTCAGGTCTTCCCACGCGGTGAACAACAGTCAAATGTAGTTCAGTCCTTCTTGGTTCATGGTGATCACGTCGTGTTGTTGGCCACTGCGCAGGTTTTGCTCGCTGATCATCAGGGCAACCTACATAAATGCAGAGCTTTGTGTGATATGGGATCTCAGGTGAGCTTTTTATCAGAATCTATGTTTCATCGTTTGAATCTTCGTAGAAGACGCTGTGTCATGACTATTGAAGGCGTCGGCCAAAACTCAACGTACACTAAGGGCGTTACCACCCTTAACCTGCATTCGAGGATTGATGAAGGGGTCGACATTAGTTTCAACGCGTACATTTTGAATTCGATCACTTCATCGACACCAGCGATTCCTGTAAACACAGCCGCCTATGAGTACTTAAGTGGTCTACAACTGGCTGTCCCTACATTTGGTTTACCGGGGTGCATCGATTTGCTTATCGGTGCTGATATTTGGAGCACCATCCTCCAAGATGGAGTGGTATCAGGAGGCTGTGATAAACCATGTGCATTGCGTACTCGACCCGGGTGGATTCTTCGAAAATTTTGGGATGCGGAAGAACCGCCTGAAGGCAGCTATGTGGAGGACTGCGAGCAAATATTCATGGACACGTTTTCGAGGAATCCCGATGGTCGATATGTCGTACAAATTTTATTCCGATTCAACGATCCGGCACTTGGAAATTCCCATCGTGGTGCACTTCGTCAATTCTTTCATTTAGAGCGAAAACTGGCTGGAGATGCGGATCTTCGTAACAGGTATATCCAGTTTATGCGGGAGTATGAGCAGCTTGGTCATATGCAGCTCCTCCGAGAGACAGAAGTTAACTACGGCCAATGCTACTATATCCCACATCATGCTGTGACTGCGAAATTCCGCGTGGTGTTTAATGCCTCGGCTAAATCGAGCAATGACATATCATTGAACGACACGCAACTTGTTGGTCCCCAATTGCAGGACAATCTCGTCCACATCCTCCACAGATTTCGACGGTTTCAAGTTGCCATTAAGGCGGACGTGGAGAAGATGTTCCGTCAGGTCGAGGTGGATAAAAGGCATCGCAAATGGCAGCAGATTCTCTGGCGGGAGTCAACAAGCGAACCGATCCGCACCTACCAATTAAATACGGTCACCTACGGTATGGCTTGTAGACCGTACAACGCTATTCGCGCATTACGACAGTGCGCCAGTGATAACTTTTCAGTTATCCACAATGTCAACCGGGCAGCTGAGGCCAAGGAGAGCATCCTCTCAAACTTTTACGTCGATGATTTCTTGGATAGTGTAGATACTACTACAGAGGCAATCGAGCGTGCTCGTTAAGGTTGCAAGATCCTGCGCCAAGGCCATTTCGTTTTGGGTAAGTGGAACTCCAATTGCGCGCTGACCTTGACGGCTCTTGCGGATGCATCAGTTGCCACCACCGAGTCGTTTTCGAGTAATTCTGATACCACTGTACAGGGCTTGCACTGGAACCCTAATAATGACACTTTATTTTACAAAGTACGGTTGCCGGACCTCGATGCAATTCCTACTAAACGCAACGTACTTAGCGATGTCGCACGAATATACGACCCATCGGGATTATTGTCGCCGGTGATCGTATGGGCCAAGATTTTTATTCAGATGCTTTGGAAGGCAGAGCTGCTATGGGATACACCATTACCAGGATATTTACGAGATGAATGGTTAACATTTCGGAATGGTTTGTACCAGCTTTCCAGTATTCAGGTGTTGCGTTGGCTGGGCATGACCAAGACGTCCACGGTAAACTTGCACGGCTTCTGTGACGCCAGCAGCAAAGCTTACGCTGCGGTCGTCTATGTGCGCATCGAAGATCCAGAGGGTGCGGTTCGCGTATCCCTGGTTGCGGCCAAAACAAGGGTAGGACCCAGTAAGGGTACTACAATTCCACGAATTGAACTCAGTGCAGCACGACTACTCGTTATGACGATGGAAGAGATTCGTCACGCCTTGCGACTGGACAGCGCAGATTGTATGTATTGGAGTGATTCGACCATTGTCCTCCACTGGATCCAGAAAGCACCGACCGTATTGAAGCCGTATGTAGCCAACCGTGTGGCATTCATACAAACTCATTCTGAAGTGAAGCATTGGCGACACATCCGAAGTGAACACAACCCAGCAGACTGCGCCAGTCGTGGCATTCCACCAACAGCGCTTGAAGATCATCCACTCTGGTGGACTGGTCCACCAATTATGTACACTTGCTTCAATCGCAGCACCGAGTTGCCTGCTTTGCCTGACGAAGAACCACACACAGCAACGTTGGAGAGCCGCCCCCCTCTCAGCTTGGTGACCGCTGCGACATGTGGGTTATTGCGCACGGCATTCGGCGGCAGACGAATTCCTTTGGTGGAGAAGTTTAGCCGTCTGAATAGACTGCTTGACACTACGGCACACCTACGATGAATCTTACCTGCATTCCGAGGTCACCGAGGCGATCCGCTGACCACAGAGGAGAGGGCATGGGCCCTTGAGCTTCACATTCGACAGTCACAAGGTAATGTGTACCTATCAGATATTAATTCGCTCAGATCTCATTCCAGCATAAGTTCCACAAGTAAGCTAGTGTCCCTGAATCCCTTCTTGGACGAAAAACAGATACTTTGAGTCGGTGGTCGCTTACAGAGAGCAGAGTTGTCATTTAATCAACGGCACCCGATTATTCTAGCGAAGGATGGAGCACTATCATGGCTGCTTATCGCCGATGCCCATGAGAAGTGTATTCATGGTGGCATTCAAGGGATGATGCAGTATTTGCGCCAACGTTTCTGGATCGTACGCATGCGCGCATTGGCCAAGACGTTCGTCCATCGATGTGTTGTATGCCGCCGTCATCAGCGAATCACCCAACAACAACAAATGGCATCGCTCCCGAGATCGAGGGTATTGGTTGCACCACCGTTCACTCACACAGGCCTCGGTTACTGCGGCCCATTTAATGTGCGACTGGGTGGTAAGAGGTCGAACGTTTTGACCAAGACTTATAGTGCGATTTTTGTCTGCATGGCCTCCAAGGCCGTGCATATAGATCTGGCTGAGAATTTGACAACCAGGGCGTTCATTGATGTATACGACCGCTTTACAAGCCGACGAGGTATTTGCGCCATACTTTACAGCGATAATGGTACGCAGTTTGTTGGAGCAAATAAACAGCTGCAGCTTGACTTGGCGGAATGGTCGAACACGCAAGCGAAACAACATTGAGCCGCTGTAGGTACGAAGTGGAGATTCATCGCACCTGCAGCTCCGCATCATGGTGGACTCTGGGAGGCCGCTGTGAGATCTGCGAAGAAATACCTGTACCGGACGATTGGTCGTCAGACATTGAGATTTATAGAACTAAGCACTCTACTATCTCGGATAGAAGCGTGTTTGAATTCCCGCCCACTGGTGGCTCTTCACGATGATCCCGAAGGTGGTCTCGCACTTACTCCTGGAGAGTTCCTCATTGGACGACCGCTTGTTTCTCGCCCCGTGCCTGCAGTGCCTGATGTTCCTGAGAATCGTCTCAAGTATTGGCAGCGGCTGCAGCGCATGTATGAACATTTTTGGAAGCGATGGCAGCAGGACTACCTTACTTTCGCTTCAGGCACGTGGTAAATGGGTACGTCCTCATCCCAATCTTCAACGCGGCGACGTAGTACTTATCCTCAACGAGAATCTTCCACCAGCTCACTGGCGTATGGCACGAGTCATCGATGTACATCCTGGCGACGATGGCCTAGTGCGCGTCGTAACCGTTGAGTGCAACAGCGATAAGAGGACAGACGAAGGTCTCTATGTAAAGCATCCATGTCAGCGACCGGTTCAAAAGCTTTGCCGGCTAACTGGTCCCAACGAAGAGATCCTGAACCGTGACTGTTCAGCCGGGCAGGATGTATAAGACATCATGTCCCATCACTGATTTAATTACATGTATATATTTTTCGTATTCAGTGGCATCACTTGTTTCTTTAGTTTTTTGTGATTCTGTCGTTTCCCTTTTTCGTAGCGCTGCACATTGGCAGGCATAACATTAAAATTGTAATTTGCTTATTATAAATTATCATTATTGATTCGATAGCGGTTGGATTTTTGGAGCGGCCAACGAGTGGCCGTCTGAATGTATCAAGGAGTTTCTGATACAGCAACTATCGTCAGTTGCTGTAGAGTTATCGATAATCGAAATTTGACAGTTCGACAACCAGCAAGTGGTTGTAAACGAGCTGTGCGAGTAAAATTAAATTATTAAAATAAAGAGTTTTAAAGAAAAGACAGCAATAAAGCTAAGTTCATCACAATTATTTGTTTAAGAGGAAGAGAAGTGCATGAACGCGGCCTCAATCAGGCGTCATTTAAAGGATAATTCCTAGTAATGTGCTGAGTCGATTCTTTTAAGTATTGATCGATACTCGGTACCGATTTGAAAAGTATCCAATACTTTCGATACTCGGCACCGAAATGTTTAGATTTCTAATGAGACCGCACAACAGCCAAATATATGAAGTAAAAGCAATTCAGGGGAGCCTCACGTACAAAATCCGAATGTAGTGACTATAGAGCTTTTAAAATTGCTAAAGTCATAAATGTATAGACATTTTCAAGAAAAAGGGCTTCTGTAAAGCTTCTTCCAGACATCTCCTTAAACCTTACTTGCACTGGTTCCAAATATATACCAACCCGAATTTAAATAAAAAATTAAGTACATTTACTATATATTTTATGTATGTGCACATATACCTACGTATATTCAAGAAATGTTTTTATACATACATTTATTTTTAAATATATACATTTTTGTATTTTGTATAAATGTAATCATATTTAAGTACGTACACTTTTCCGTTAGTATTTACAACGAACTAATAATACAAAGTTTTTTTTTCTAATAATATCAAATAACAATCAGGCACACATGGAGATCGTTTAAGTTTCTATGAATGTTTAAAACGTTAAAAATAGGACTTAGTTTTTTATTAATGAATTTTTCCACATTATTAGGATCTAAACGATTTCTTCACT